AGTACTAAATAACCAATGAGCCAAATACAAGTACCTTGTTTCACCCATATACTCCTTTCCTTAATTTTCAAAAACGTTTTGTAGTATCTAATATTGTTGTTATAATCATAATGTCTATAACAAAAATGACAGCATTTTCCCTGCAAACTAAAAGAAAGGTGAAATCAGGTAAGGTCTCAAGGACTATTAATTGACTCCTTTGTGGCTAAGCACTTGCAGAGCCATCCATGTGCAGAGACACAAAGCAATACTACAGTGAAACATTTAATACTACAGCAACATTTTCCCTGAGACTTTAGGTTAAGATACTCAACAGCTAAAGATGAAAAGGACAAATGTGCATCACATATACCAGCACATAAACATACCTAGTATCACCTCTGCAGCATAGAATCTCATTTCTTGTTCGTTAAAGACACCATGCTGTGAGAGATGGTAGTGGAGATCACCCCCATTCATCAGATCCAATATAAAACACAGCTTATCTGGTGTGTGGAAGGCATAGGTCATACACACAATGAAGGGGCAATCAACCTGAAAAACATCAGGTGGAATTAATGACACAATCATAGTCTGCTTCTGATTATTTAGGACATTAGAAAATGAGGATCTTACATTACCATAAACATCTGTATATATATGCATACATACATACAAATATATGTATATATAATATAATATAATATAATATAATATATATATATATATATATATATATATATATATATATATATATATATATATATATATATATATATATATATGCATATATATATGTATACATTTGTATAAATATATGTATAAATATATGTATAAATATATGTATAAATATGTATAAATATGTATAAATATACATATAAATATACGTATAAATATACGTATAGATATACGTATAGATATACGTATAAATATACATATAAATATACGTATAAATATATGTATAAATATATGTATAAATATATGTATAAACATATGTATAAATATACGTATATGTGTGTGTGTGTGTGTGTGTGTGTGTGTGTGTGTGTGTGTGTGTGTGTGTGTGTGTGTGTGTGTGTGTGTGTGTGTGTGTGTGTGTGTGTGTGTGTGTGTGTGTGCGCGCGCGTGTGTGTGTGTGCGCGTGTGTGTGCGTGTGCGAGCGCGCGTGTACGTGTGCGTGTGTGAAGGACAAGAGAAAAAGCTATAACCCTGATCCAGTGCAAAGCTCTCAAACTTACCCCCGTGCTGACTAGAGATAGCATGATGCGTTCATTTAGTGCTAGAGTCTCTCCTTGCTTCATCTTAATACGCTTCTTGTCCAGACACTTCATGGCATACATCTTCCCCGTGTCGGCCTTGCGGCAGCCATACACTTCCCCGAAGCCGCCGCGACCGATGATCCTGTGCACGCTGAAGTCGTTCATGGTGAGCTGAGGACACACGGACTCACGGTAAGCATCTCAAGGGAATATCAGTGCCGATGTTTAGCTTCTTTTATCAGCATCAATAGATAGACTATAATACAAATCCTTGTCAGTTTAATGTTTGCAAGGTCATTCAATCGGGCAGGGAATAAGTGAAATGTGGGTAGCGGTCTCCGTAGAGTTTCGAATCAAACTAAAGTACAGCTCTCTCCCGCTCTTGCTCTTCTTCTTTCTTTCACTCTCACTCTCTTTCTCTCACTTTCTCTCACCCTCTCTCGTATTCTCTCCATCTATTAACCATTCCTCTTCTAAGCCAATTCTTCCTTCATTTCTTCCTCTAGGTGATTTCCTATCATAGTCCATCGAGAGCCTAATTCAGTACACACAAAATGCCGTAATAATTACAAAACATAGTCTAAAAGGGGCTTAACGGGCAAAGTTAGGCTCACCTCGCTAATGAATCTGGCTGGACCTTTAATATCCTTCCAAACTTGTTGACAAGTTCGGAATCCTTACTCAGATAATTAGGCCTTTCCCTTTTACCTCGTCCTTCTCTCATCAACTTGACGTCGCTCTTTCCTCAAGTCTCACTCTCTCTCCTCTAATCACCAGTGTCAGTCTTCTTAGTCTGACTGCACTCCCATTTCGGTTATCTCCCTAATTATAGTGTAATCCCCCCACCCCCACACCCACCCCCACCCGACCATCGTCTCCCCTCCCCTCCCCTAATCCAGCTTCATTCATTCCAAGGCCCAGGCCGAGCGTGACGGTCCTCCGCAGCATTCGCGACCCGAGTGTACCCAAGCCCCCTGTCCCTCAACCCCGGCCCGTCCCTGAGGCCCTCATAATGACCCCAACGGCCCCTATTATCTCCTCCTCCGTCCCCCGCCCGGTGTTGTCTTGGCGAGGCTTCATCTCCCCTCTCAAGGTTGTTGATGCAATCTCCAGCTTGTCATGCTAAGTTATCTGATCATTGCCTTAATCGCCTGCCTACTAAAATGTAATTATAATAGAACCCAAGACGTTCAGTGGCAACTTATACAGCAAGCATAACATACACATGCTGTTGGGCACTTTAAACATACCAAAGAAGAAATGTGTGTATAGAGAAACAGGCAATGCCACTCACCTGGATATTCAGTTCTAGGTTTTTCCACTGACAGAATCTTGTGTACTTGTCACTAGAAAGAGAGAAAGAAAAACATTAGTACATACTGATAGTGTGACATGCTACCATTAGCGTGCGTCGTAACGCACAGATCATCCCGCGACCCGAAAAAAGTTAAAAAGCGGCCAGGACTCCAATCATCGATTCATCAAAGGAACGCGACCTGTCGAGTTACACCGGAATTTGGTTCCATCCCAATTTCGGGTAACTTTATAACGGGCGAGCAATTTCCTTCTCCGCCGCAGCCAAGCATCTCGTCTAAACTTTTTCACTCAAGCCCAAACACTCTCAGAGGGAATAACAAGAGAGATCGTAAAACTTCGGACTTTAACTGCTCACTTACCTGTAAAATAAGACATTAGTATGGTCTTTTGAAATGATGAGAAAGATGATGCGCCATAAAACCACAGCATAACCTTGTTTTCCGTCTCCCGCTTCAAGTACTGGCAGAAAGAAAACGACCCCCAGGGATACGCTGCCTCACCACTGTCTCCGCGAAGCACCAAGCATTACCTCCTATTGCGAAACATCTAACTATATTACAGACTGACATATAAGCCTCCCCTGGGTCTCAAAAGTACAGTTATTCCTTACGCAAGTCTCTCTTTTTTTTCTTTCTCTCTTCCCTTCTTTCTTTTCATTCTTTCTTTCTCTCTTTTTCGGTCTCTGTTAAGATCGCCGTACCCTCCTGTAGGCCGAGACGCCAGACCGGACTCTTGGCATAACACTGCAGCCGAGCCGTTAAATGCGGGTGATATTAATTTCCGCTTACGACTAGAAATGAAAGAAAAAAAGGCTGCTGCTAAAGAAGCGAGAGCGGGGAGAGAACACGGACAGGCCGAGCTAAAACATCCCAGCTTAACCTTTCCCTTCCTGCGCCAGTTTTCCTCGAGACAAAATGCCTCTCTCGCAATCGCCGTTTCTTTATTCCTCCGTCGCATCTACAGCCATAAAACTGCATCATCCCTTTGGCCTTCGAGGCGGTCGCTGAAGGAGGACAGGGAGAGAGAAAGGGAAGAAGGGGGAGAGGAAAGATAGGAAAGGGCAGAGAGAGGGGAGGGGGAGAGGAAAGGGGGAGAGAAAAAAGAAAAGAGAGAGAGAGGAGAGGGGAGAGGGAGGGGGAAGGAGAGAGGAGAGGGGAGACGGGGGGAGAGAGGACAGAGGGAAGGGGAGAGAGGGAGGTAAGAGGAAAAGGGAAGGAGGGCAAGTAGGTAGGAGAGGAGAGAGAGGGCGAGGCTGAGGGCGCAAAGCGACCCCGAAGCCACGCAGGCACCCGGTGTATCTGGCTCCTCCTGCAGAGTCTAGAGCGATGATCAAAGAGATGGTCGGAGATATTCCTGAAGCTCGCCCGGGGAAGCTTCAAAAGCAGCGACGCCATTGTAGTCCGGCCGGAATGACAAGCGCTTTTACGTGCAAAGAGTTAACGGGGGCGGTAGCGGGGGGGGGGGGGGGGGGGGCACGGCGACGACGACCGCTACACGTGCGCGCGCACACACACACACACACACACACACACACACACACACACACACACACACACACACACACACACACACACACACATACACATACACACACACACACACGTACATACACACGTACATACACACGTATACGCACAAACACACACACACACATAGTATATGCACTCGTATACATACAAGTAAATAAAAATTAAAACAAAATAAAACCCAAAATACTTCCCCTCATCCTAGAACGTTCACTGAAATTACGTAGAGGAAACAGCATCCAAACGCGTGCAGTGTTAGCAAGATCAACCACAGGAACATATCTCAGCCAAACGCAAGAATATCTTTAGCAAGAGCAACTGTAAGAATATTCCCTTACCAAGAGCATCTTTTCGAGCATGTTTCCCAAAAGCAACCGTAAGAGCGCGCTTTTTCCAACTCCAAGAATATATCTTTCCCACAGCAACTCTAAGAATATGCAAGTGGTTAGCAAGGACAGCTGCAAGAACTAGCGCAAGAACACGTGTTTACGAAGATGACGGCGGACGATGAATGGCTGCAGCGCACGAGGATAAAAATGGGAGAGAGAAATGGAGGGAAAATCGTTAGTGCTTAAAAGCCAAAGAGAAAGGAATGACATGAGCCGCCCAGAGATAAAGAAGAGAACGCAAGCAGGGAAAACATTACTTCAAATACAAGAAAAAAAAAAAAATGAAATCAGACCTCCTGGAAACCCATCTTTTATGTTTCCCAGTTGCTGTTTCCAGAAACGGAGGTCGCTCGCAAATTACTTTCCCTCTGCTCACCGACCGCTGCAAAAATAGCAGCTCGCAGGGAAGGGAAGGAGGGACAGGGGCTGTGGGTAGGGGAGGGGGAGAGCGAGCACGGAAGGGGAGAGGAATGGGAGGGGGGGTCTTGCAGGATGACCACTCAGGACTCAGCGAAGGATGCGACACCGAG